GATCATTTTAATACTCAAATTTGTCATACATTAACCGGGCATTGTACTAAAAAGCCCGGGCAAAGTGTACCCTGCCCAGATTCAAGTGGGCAGATRTGATCTTCGTTGTATTCTGGGAGTTATACTTTCTGGTAATTAATTTTAAAATAATTTTAATAATAAAATAATTTTTAAATTAATAATTTTTTTTATAGTAAAAGATAATTTACATGAAATTGGAACAAACGAGGGCAGACTACATCAACTCTACAGTCGGAACCAATTCACAATATGTAAAGAGGTGTTTATCTAGGCTGATGATGTACCACCAGTACAAATTTCATTAAGAGAAGTGGCAAGAAAATCTTCTAATTTGGGTAGCCAAGGGTACGATAGGTGTACTTGCAATACATTGTGTAAGACAAACCGGTGTAAATGTAAAAGATCTGTCGTCTTTGCAACTCAAAGTGTCATAATAGTGGTGTATGTGGTAATAAATAAAGCAAATAAATAATAATTGTWATTTAATAATAAATTAATTAAATATTAAAGCTGTGCAACTTTATTTATTTTTAATATCTTTATTTTTAATTTTTTATATAATATTTAATATTTAATCTACTGTGCCCAAATCTAATTGGGCACTGTATACAATGCCCRGGCAACGTTAACTTATTCCAACTTTGCCCTTGAAAATCGGGCATTGTGCACAGTGCCCGGCTTTCTACTTTGCCCGTAACATATATACAAATACAAATTTATAATGAAACTGAAAAATGTCTTTGGCATACGATAATATTTTTGAGGCCACCAGCTGCTGCATGGCAGTCAACGTGTTAAAAACCAATTTAATGAGATTTTAATTTGTCACAATATTTAACACTTTATTAAGACCTACTATTATGGTCCAAGGGGTTCGATAGGGGGCCAAGCCACCCAGACATATTATTTCTTAATTTTTCATAGGGAAATTAGAAATAAACCTTGCAAAAATATGGAAATATGTTTGGACTTTATTATTTAATATATTTAATCATTAATTTGTATATTAAATTAAGATTACAGAAATACTCGAAAAAAATATTTTAAATTGAGAATACAGCGTATATTATAATTGTATTTGTATTGTAAAAAGATTGTTGCCCTTCCTCAGATATTTGTACAGAATTTGTGCCTGCCCGCTAAAGAAGTAAACAGTTAAGATATGCAGATTTACATCGGTGATTATCGCACAAATATGCAAATTGACACATGCCAAAGCCAATTCTCTTGTGGCTTGGAATAAACCATTCAATTTATATGCATTACATATTATTATTGCAGATAAAATATCCCAATATATGACAATGGTTAAGAAATAAGAATAATAAATCTTAAGGAGTCTTATTTTTTTKTGTTATCTATGAGCAATTATGAAATATTAATTAATAATTGTGCTACTATTAATAATAAACAATATACTGTTATTATTTACTTATATTTAAATGTATTTTTACAATGTATTAAAAATATCTGTGTTTTATATGGCTGGTGGTTGGTTAACAATAAATAAGAACCTATAAAAATTAATATTTACCTGAGCAGTTTTGATACTTGATGCTCGAGATTAGAATGTGACAGAGAAACAATTCGGCTTGTAGATTTACCATCAGATCCAAGATCATACATTTCAATCGAACTATTTTCACTCAATGTGTAAAGTATGTGGCGTGTATTATCAACAGCTACATCAATAATGGCAGAAGGTTCGGTGATCGCATAAGTTAAAAATGATGGTAGAATATATGATAGAGTACCAGTTGAATGACAAACTTTCTTACAACGTCTTCCATTTCCAATTGAAAACCATCCCAAATCTTTCTAAATATATTGAAAACAATACTGGATATTAATAATTTTTAACAAATCATCAGCATCAGTATTAGCGTTGGTAACATAAAACTTATATTAGGAAACACTTGTTTAATAAAAAATAGATGAGTATGTACACCTCTTATCAACAAAATATTATATTAAATAACAACAATACATAAATGCATTTTTTGGTATAATCAACAGTTAAATTTAATCAAAATCGATTATGTTAGCACCTCACATGCACAATACCAATCATATTTTAAAGCACGCTTATACTGATGCTGAGTTAAAAGTTAATACCAAAAGAAAATTCAGAAAATACAAAATGAATTTTTAATATTAAAAATTATTTGTTTTTATTTTTTTGTACACATAAGTTTAACAAAAATTGCTATTGACAATAAAATACTTGCAGGATATAACAAGTAAAACAATTTTATTTTGGTTTCACTATTCTTAGTTCATTAAATAATTCACAGGACCAAAATAATGATATTAGCATGATCTTAACTCGATTCTAATCATCACACATATAGAGATACCTATGATGGGTTAATCTTGAAAAAGCATTTAAGTATTAAACATAAAAATAAAATTATATTTTTAAGAAAATAATTACCCAATAATCAATTTCAAACAGGTTACCATCTTCACTTGCAAGAAAAATGCGTCCATTGTCAGTTCCAACAATTTTAGAGGTTATTACACCTTCAGTGGGAACTTCATAAATAGTATCTGTAGTGAGTTCTAGTTGTTCTACAGTTTTACCTAATAATAAAAACAAAATTATTATTTTCATAATAATTAAATTAAATATGATATAAAATACATAATTAAGTACAAATAGCTTAAATCAAGTCTAAATAGTTTTTAAATTTAATTGTGTATAGTAATTGACAGTCTAAATAATAGTGGAATGTTTCCAGTGTTGGTAGTAATGTAACGTGCGTTACTCGTTACTGTAACATAGTTACATTTTTCGGTAACATTATGRAAACTTCGTCATTATTATTTTTGTATTTTTGGGTAACGCAAGTGAAACGACGTTAATTATTTAGAAATAACTAGTCAGAAGAACGTATTACATTATAAATTAAATTTTTTTTTTATGGAGGGGGGGATATCGTGATTCAACTTCACGAAGCAGTTCTGCCCAGTATCCAGATCGGATATTGTAATTTTATTAATAATTTAAACTATTTAAGTAGATATTTATGTAATTACAACATTTTCCCAGTATAATCTAATATAATTATATAAATAAATGATTTTGTGTAAATATTATTTTCAATTTAACTGATTGTAAATTAGCATCGATTACAGCCTATACAGGCAGCAACGCCAGCAACTGCTATAGTTTATTAGTTTATTTATTTTTAGATCATATCTGATAAAATATGTACATTGACATACAGACAGACGGTCGTACGGATTATCGCTAATAACTATTGGTATGGTAGGCCAGGGCTTTTTGTCAACAATTCATAGATACATTATCAGAGTTGTCAGTGGTAAAAGTAACTTCATTGTAACTAGTTACTTTTGAAAAAAAGTGTAATGTTACACATTACTTTTGTACTTGAGTAACTAACAAGTAATCTAGTTACCTATTTTATTTTGTAACTTGTAACGTAACTTAGTTACTTTTAAAAAGTAACTTACCCAACACTGAATGTTTCTATAATTAATATTTTTTGAATTAGTTACAAACAAATTTAAGTATACTGATATAATATAATTACCATCAATACTAGTAACTTTTTTAAATGTTACTCCTAATATTGCTATGTTTAATCCAGTAGCTAAAACTAACAAATGTTTAATATGAGCTTGAAATACATTTGGTTTAGGTGGTACCAGTGCTACTGCAAAAATTGTCGAGTTCATTCCATCAAAATAAGATAAATCCGTTCTAAATATAAAATCAAACAATTAAACAATATTATTTGATCATAGTTAACAGAATATTACCCTTCACTATAATCCCATAAAAAGAATTCTTGATCAACTGTAACCCAAACTCGGTTAATACTAGGAAATATTCCCAACTTGCGATGAAAGTTTTGTGCATCTATATTAACAATATATAATGAAAT